TAATAGTATGCATATTTATTCAAAGGGCAATGCTATATGTACACCCATTTTTAATAAATTACACAAAGGGCAATGCTATATGTACACCCCTTTTTTACACACAAGGGGGTGTACATATAGACACCCCCTATTCAAAAGCCTAAATCTGCCAACTATTCTTTTTTTTTTTATTTATATTCTAATCGGTTCGGTTCGGTAAAAACCGATCCTAATGGGCTCAAAACCGATTCCGAACCAATGACATATTGGTAACCCATTATCGATTACCGTTACACATGAGTCGGTTCGGGTCGGTTTTTTTCTCATCGGTACAGTTCAATTCGGTTCCGTTTTGGGTCAAAAAATATCAGTCCTATTGAAGATAATAAATTGTGAGTGATTGAATAAATATTGATTAATGTAAAATAATTTAAATATTAATACTAGTTTTTAGTTATTTATATAGGAATTTTATCAATACAAGACTCGAAAGATGGGTAAACTATCAATGAGGGGCCTGAAAGATTTTTTTCTCAATTCGAAACTTAAATGTTATAAAACTATCAAATTAAAGACCCGAAAGATGGGTAAACTATCAATGCGGGGCCTGAAAGATTTTTTTTCTCAATTCAGGACTTAAATGTTATAAAACTATCAAATTAAGTATAGAATTAAAAAACTCATAACACCATTAAATCTAGAGTTTAAAAAAAAAATAATATTTAATTATTACATTTTATTTTCATATTTATTCACATTTTTTAAAATTTGCATTCTTCCATCAATTTTTTCTAATCTTTAACTCACTTTTTTATTCAAACATTTTTACATAATTTATAATCAATCGTACTCTTGAATGTTTATAATATTATTATCCTCATAAATATATTGTTTGTTGTTAAAAAGAATAAAGCAAGTAATTATATTAAGTAAATATTTAATATGATTTTATATCTAAATTGACTATTATGCTTATTGAAATTTCATTCATATGCATTGATAGTTTAGAAATGTAAATGAATATAAAATAAAATGTAATAACTTAATATTATTTTTTAAATTTGAACACCAATCTTTTGTTTTTTTTTCAACTCTAAATTTAATGGTGTTATGAGTTTTGTTAATTCTAGACTTAATTTGATAATTTTGTAACATTTAAGTCCCGAATTGAGAAAAAGAAATCTTTCAGGCCCCGCATTGATAGTTTACCCATCTTTCGGGTCTTTAATTTGATAGTTTTATATCATTTAAGTCCCGAATTGAGAAAAAAAAAATCTTTCAGACCCCGCATTGATAGTTTACCCATCTTTCGGGCCTTGTATTGATAAAACTCCATTTTTATATATAATTTATATATTTATTTCACCTAATATAATTTCTCATTTCATAGTTCACATATAAAATTCAAGAAAAATGATATAGGTACATAACATTGTAATATGGGTGTACATAACACTCACATTAAACCTACCTTTGGTAAAACTATGTGATAAACTATCTTATAGCTTATTAGTAATTTTCGAGCTTATAACTTATAGCTGAAAAGCTAGTTTATATGATAAAAGTGTTTGATAAAATTATCTGATAAGCTAGCTGAAATAAAATTTCAACGAGCTTACTTGAACAGCTACCCAAATAAGCTTATCAAATAAGCTCGGGCTTTTTAAGAAGTTCGTCTTACCAAACGAAGCTTATTTGAATACAGAAAACTTATAAACTAATCAAATAAGCTATAAGCTAATTTATTTGTCTACCAAACATAGCCTAAGTGGAACCGACCAAAAATAAAAAATCAAGTGGATCTCACTCCATATGAGTGTTGTACCATAGTTTTTAAACCCGACCTGAATGGACCTGGTTAAGTCTTCGGGTCACTGGGGCACCGGTTCAACCGTCGGGTCATCAGGTCAATTGTTGAATCGGATAACTAATTTTAAAATTTTTTAAAATTATATATATATAAAGTATTATGTCGTATAAATATACATAAAAGTAACAAAATTAAACGTTTTGCATATAAAATTTGTGCATTAAAGTTTTAATAATATGTATTTTATGATAAATATTTACCATATAAATATATATACATAGTTTTATTTTTTAAAAAAAAAAATATATTTAAAAAGTAATAAAAAGTATATATGGGCTTAGTCAACTGGGTTGACTCAACCGGGTCAATGCCCCGGGTCGTCCGGGTCAAGGCCGGGTTTTGATCGTGTTTAACTGGGTCTTTTGTTGCCTGGTCCGCATAGCCCACCCGGACCTGTTCCGGCTTCGAGTCGACCCGCTGACCTGTTCGAGTTTGAAAAACATATTTATGTACACTTTTATATCCATTTATGATGCACTTGTAGCATTTTCCATAAAATTAATGAACACTCTAAATTGATATATTTAAACATTATCAATAAAAAATACTTACAAAAATTGCATATCTCACTCTTTTTTTTACTCATGTCTTGATACAATATATTATTTTAATTCTTAAATAAATGACCGTAAAGTTAGAAAATGGTGACAAATAGTATAAAACTTCACTGAATCTAAAAAATTGTCGTATATTATTTTAAAGATATAAAATTTACTGATTTTTAATTATATAAAATTATTTATTTTTAATTTATAATAATTTATATTATAAATATGTTGTTCTAATTGAGTAATTCATATGACAATTCAATACCGATTGATTTACATTATAATTTATAACCATATATATTATAAAAATTTAATTTATTTAAAACTAATAGTTTACTGGTTTATATATAATTTATAATAACATACATTAAAAATGTTACATTTCTTGTTTAAATGAATAATTGCATGGATAGTTCGACAGACGGTATATTGGTTTGTCATCATAAATTGTCAATGTATATTATAAATATTTTTATGTTTCTTTATAAATTTATAATATAAATGGCAGATCGACATATGACTCATTGATTATCATAATTTAGAATAATCCATATCTTAATTATTTTGATTATTTAATCTAATAATTTGCATGATAGATCGAGAAAAAGAAATTTGTTGGTTTGCCATTTTAATATCGTATATAGTTGCTCCTCGAAATAATTGTTTATTTGAACTTTTATATTTTTTAGCATTAATACTTTAAATACACAAGGAACAAACATACCAATTATTATTTCAGACTAAATATATTTTATCATACATATATTGTATTTTTATTGTGTGAAACCTGAAACGAATACCTTATTATTAAAGTAGTAATAAATAAGTTTGTTGAGCATGTTTGTATATAAGAATTCTCACAAAAAATTTCAACATTTTAACTCAACCACTTGTTTTAACTCAACTTTAACTCAACCCCATTATCATCAATATTATCAATATAATAAAATAATACCAAACAATCATTTATACATATCACATCAACTTTAATTCACTATTCATCCACTCACATTAGTTTAACTAACAATCACATTAAATTTTAATTATTTTATTTTAAATATTATTTTAATATATCCACTAACAATTAACCATACTACATTTTTCAAAATTAATAAAACCAAACCAAAAAATCCAACAAAACCAAAAATTTTCATATCCAAACATGCTCTTAGAAGCTTTCGAAGGAGACTAGTCTCATACTCACCCTTTGCTTCTCATGATGCTACTAATTAATTGGCTGCAGGATGGTAATTGGTGCAACTATTTTGGTTAGCAACTGTAATTTTTGAGTTGTTAAGGGCGTGATTGTATATATTTTCTACAGTAAATGTCCAACTCAAAACTCAAATTTAACTCAACCCACTATTTACAATATTATCAATATAATTAAATAATATAAATCAACCATTATTACACATCACATCAACTTTAATTCACTACTCATCCACTCACATAATTTTAACTAACCATCAATTCCAATTATTTTCTCCTACTTTTACATCAAATCAACTTTAATTACTTTAATTTACATATTATTTTAATATATCCATTAACAACTTACCATACTATTTTTTTTTTTTTTAAATTTAACTATAGTTAACAAGAAAAAACTATTTTTTTACTAGTTGAATTCATTTCCAATCACCCCCTAACATATTTTGCTTTTTTCTTTGTATAACATGTTAGGATACTCATGTAAAATAATGTGTTTTTTCAACATGCCATTTGTTTTAGTGGTTTGTGTTGTTGGTTAGTTTAGTTGCGAGTGTTTTTATTCTAGCATTGCTAGCCGAGATTATAGGCGGTCTTCTGACTTGTCCTCCCACTTTTCCAACTGTTGGCTGCTGTGTATTTGCACATTTGTGCATTTTGATTTATAATATTATCTATCGTTTTGAGAAAAAAAATATCATTTGATATGCAAACTGCCTCTAAACCGGGATTAAACTCGTAATGTCGCGAATTGTCTCTATACTGGAGCTCCGATGACCTTCAAAACACGTCCGGATGGGCCCTGACGCAAAATCATCCAACGTTCAAGTTAGATTTAGCTCATTACTATAAATTGAGATATAAAATTATATTGCACGTTAATTGTAAAAAAAAAAAAATATGAGAACCTTGTTGTCTTCTTATCAGGTCACCTCATTAGCAAGAAAGAGATAACTTCGTACTATCACGTTTTCTAGTATGACACATTTCTAAAATCCCCTATTTATCAACGAGATACACTTACTATCTTAATATGGTTATGTTTTCATTCTCTAACATATTTTTCAAGAATTTAGGTCTTTATATATCGACACCATAATACTTCCACCATATTCCTTATTACTGAGTTGCCATACGACCTTAGATAACTCAAACTCTAGGTCGTTACAGCTCTCTCATTTCACTGAGATCTCTGATGAGCTCAGTTCTTAACCTCGTAACCATGGTTGACCCGTGCCTCGAAGTCATTGATAAAATCAGAACCTGACCTCGAACTAAAGCCACCCCAAACCTCTCTACCGAGCTGGTAGGTGTGCTATATTATCATTTTATCACATTGATCTGCCTAACAACACAACAATGTGACTAAAGTATTGGGTGAGATAACAAACAATTTTAAAAAAAATATTTATTTAGTCTAATTAAAGTTTCAAATAATTTACGAGCAAATTGTTCCTTTGGATATCTTCACATTCATATATACATATATGTGTATATATAGGCGTGGTTTACTATTTGGAGATTGCAGATGATCATAACTAAATTGTATTAGCGAATAAGTAAATAATCAAGTACAATGTTCGATTTGACCAACGAATTCTATGATCGACTTAAATGAGTGTAAAAAATATAAGTGGATAATGAGAGAAATAATGCATAGTTGAGGATAAAGACCTTGTTTGGAAGATAGCGGATTGAAGATAAATTAGCAGATTGGACTTAATTG